CTTGGGGGGAAAACATTCTTTAACTTACAGTTAAAGCTTCTAATTGGCATTAATTAATTAGACGAAGTGGTATTTGCTTTTACATTGTAGGTAAATTATTTTATGTGCAAAAAATGAGTAAAAAATGCATCATAAATGATACTTATCTAACACATGACAAGCAATAATAAAACCCACTCAAAAAAATCTCAGCCGCCACCAGAGTTGGGGAGGGATGAAACTTAATATCATGAACTTCAGAAAGAAGTAGGCATGCCCTGGCCGGTTTGGCTTAATGGGTAGGGTGTTAGCCTGTGTACTGAAGGGTCCCAGGTTTGAATCTGGTCAAGGGCACATTCCTGGGTTGCAGGTTCAATCCCCAGTGGGGGGCTTGCAGGAGGCAGACAATTAGTGATTCTGTCTCATCATTGCTGTTTCTATCTCTCTTTTCCTTTCCTTTCCTCTCTGAAATCAATACAAATATATTGGGGAAGAAAAGAAGTAGGCAAAGGAGGAAAATATTTTGATATGGCACCTGGCATCGAGTTGATCTTAGCCTTGCATCTATACTCCAGAAATGGAATGGGTGAGACAACAGAATTCTTGGAATTGTCACTATGTCTCCAAGTTAGCAGTCTAGTGAATGAAAGGGCTATTCTTATCTTACAATTCCTCTAGTAATTAAATTGACTGCTGGGGAGTTACAGGTCAAATGGATGATGCGAATAAATGGGCTTATGCATATGAGAAAGGCTAACGGACATCTCCCCAGGAAATAGGATAGAAACTGAGTTGGTGGAGGAAATCCTAGTGTAAAACATGTAACAAAACGTTAGAGTAATCAGAGATCAGGCCTACCAACAATGGATCACACAGCCTGAACTGGGCTCTCCTCTGTCCTCCACTCCTTCAGTCTACACAAAGCTAGAACACCAAGTACCAACCTCACGTTAGTTTTATAGGAGGAAACTAATAAGCTCAGGTTCGGTGAAAGGAATTCAATAATTCACCTCCAACAGAAAATGCCTCGCAAGATAAAAAATAAATGATCTGGCAATTATGCAACTACATGTAAGGGAGAAAGAGAATTCAGAGACGGGGTGAGGGAAGGTGGGAGACAGGAATGGGAGGGATCTGGGGGCTAGAGGTAGGGGAATTATGTTTAAAGAAAGATGAACCCAAGAACTAACAAATTAGGAGGAGTGGGGAGGGAAACTAGAAAATATGAGTTCAAATTTCTTTATCTTTCAGAGTTGGAAACCAATTGGTAGTGTCTAAAAGAAAAACTTGTAATAAAAAATGACTCCAGCATTTTAATATTAGTATATATTTTTTAATTTTTAGAAAATAACTCTTATGGTAAAGAAATATTTGTGTAACCTTTAGCAATTAAATTGCATTTCTTTTCCTTGTGTTACATTGAAGCAAATTAAATTAAAGGGTAAAGGGTGCCAAATACATAGTGCGAGAAGATGATGTGACTTTGGATGGTGAGGATACAATGAAATGTACAGAACATGTATCATAGTAATATACATGCGAAACCTATATGATCTTATTAACCAATGTCACCCCAATACATTTAATTGAAAATTAAATAATTAATAATTAAGATATAAGGTATGGTATGATCCATTTTTCCTGAAAGCATCTATTTTTCTTTTAAAATTCCTCATTTATTGCATTTAAAATTTTTTTGTCTTTGTTGTTGAAAGTTTTACAGAGGTCTCCTTTGTCCCCCATTGACCTTCTCCACCCCACACTTTGCCCTCAGGCCTTCACCACACTATTGTCTGTGTCCATGGGCTATGCATATGTGCATATAAGTTCTTTCGTTAATCTCTTCCTGGCCCCTCTGCCCCCTTCCCTCTGAGATTCATGAGTCTGCTCCATGCTTCTGTGTCTCTGGATCTATTTTGTTCATCAGTTTATTTTGATCATTATATTTCACATATCAGTGGGATCATATGATACTTGTCTTTCTCTGGTTTATTTTGCTTAGCATAATACTCTCCAGGTCCCTCCATGCTGTCTCAGAGGGTAAGAGATCCTTCTTTTTTTTACTGCCGCATAGTATTCCATTGTGTAAATGTACCACATGTTTTATATCCACTCATCTGTTAGGCTCTTGGGCTGTTTCCAGATCTTAGCTATTGTAAATAGTGCTGTGATGAACATAGGGGTCTGTATATTTTTTCTGATTGATGTTTTGGGATTCTTAGAATACATTCCTAGAAGTGGGATCATTGGGTCAAGTGGCAGTTCTGTCTTTTTTAAAAAATCAGTCTACCAATTGCTATTTATATATATACATATGAACATATATATATATACATATATATATACACACACACACATATATATGAAATAAAATTTTCACAAATATTTAACCACACTCTGTTT